CCCAAATTGCTTGTATCCCTCCCTAACGACCCTTTCAACAATCAAAGTTGCTCACGGTTACAATTCACATCAATCGTTCTTACTTGCTTCAACAGCACGGATCCTAACGGTAATCCACGGCATGAACTACGAACTCGACACATGTGCGGGAAACTCAAAAAATTATCTATACCAAATCCCCAGCTACACGGCTGTATGCGACATCAGATCTTCACGTTCGCAGAAAATGGTGAATGGCCCATTCAGAATGGGATTTGAGCAATAAATCGAAAATCTATCCAACAAGGGAAAGACCACAAAGATAGACGAAAGTTCACAAAGCAAGTATGTGAATGCCTCCGTCGTTATGAAATGAAGTCGAAATGGGGAAATTATACCTTCTTTCTTCCAAGTATCTTCTTCACAGCCGCCGCAGCATTCACGCGGCCGAAGGAGAGAGTCTTTTTTCCTTTACTGTCCTTGACACCTTTGGTGGCCGTATCCATAATGATACTTTTGATATAATCAGGAGTCAGCTTAGTCTTCACAGAAGGTTCAAGGCTGTAGAGCATCCCAGCAATACCTGCTACGATGGCAGCGGCAGCCGAAGTGCCCGTACCGGCGCCATACAACCCACCAAGATCTGTTTCAAATATTCTGTAACCCGGAGCGGCAATATCAACATCTGAGCCGAAATTACTTCCGTCGTAAAGCTGCATTTTGGCACCCTTTGTTCCTGCAACACAGATAACTCCTTCGCTGAGTAGTTCACGGCCGGAACAAGGATAGTACTTGACCTTGTCCATGTCCATATGCTTATTTCCTGCACCCAACACAACGAGCATGCCAGCTGCAACGACTGCGTGAATCCTCTCCATCAGGATTGGGAGGGGTTCTTCGCGGCCAAGCGCAAACAAGACCACTTTAACATCGCCTCTCATCTCACGCATGAGATATTCAAAAGCTTCAATGGCACGCAGCTGACCTGGGGCGTGACCCGTAGATATGGGCAGTATACGCACATCGTTCAGAATACCCGCTATACCGATCTTGTTATTTCTGATAGCGCCAATGATGCCAGCCATGTAGGTTCCATGCGGTCCTCGTGGACTGGTATCACTATTTTTATCAACGACGTTGTAGCCCTCGATGACGACGCCCTTCAAATCAGGTGACTTGCCTCGATTCCATCGTCTATAACTGCGATGGTCACCTGCGTTCTCTTTGGTATAGAGTCCAGGATACTCCAAGCCTTCGGTACAGAGATGGCCTCGAGATAATCCTCCTGTCCGTATAGTATTGTCGTTGGGATCGCCGTTCACAGGACCGAGCCCGCGGATATTT